CTTCAAAGACTAGCAAGACCGGCAAAACATCTCCGGGTCAGCTGGCGAACGTGCCCCATATTGAGGATACACTCTGGTCCGTCAGTAGAACCACAGACTTCGACATGTGTGAAAATATGGTGTCTCTGCAGGTATGGAGTCACACTGCTTGGCTGTGCTTAATCCCTTAAGTGTTTCCGTTCTAAAGAGCTATCATTTTATGGACCAGGTCTCCGTGAATCATCGTCCATTTGCTATCGCTTCTCTAAAGTTCATAATTCAGGAAAGGATTTTCGATACATCACTCAGATGATAAGATTTAGATATTTTACTTCTCTCTGTCTGTTTCTGTCTATGCGTCTGTCTACTTGTGCTTAGCCGTCTACATCGCCCTCTCCCTCTGTTCCCAGATCCACAGCAGCAAGTACACAGAGGATATCATCCAAAGGAGCTCGGTGGCAAGCTACCTCATCCGCGGAGACACGCACCGAAGGATCGAGCAGGCCGTGGTGGAGGGAACCATCACTGTCTTGACCAACAAGGAGCAAAACGAGCATGTGGACACCTTCACCAACCAGGTTTGTCGTTAGGTCGTCTCTACAGATATTAACAGAAAGTGAGTTTAAGGATATGATGATACGACCTTATAATGTCAGTGGAGTTTTGGCTAAAGGAATGTAATTTTCCTCTCGGCAGACCTTGGAGCTGAAGGTTGTGCGTGAGATTGGCGAGCCCATCACTGTTACTTATGACGTCCATCCTCACTACAGCTGGCAGTATGATATCGAAAGGCCACAGGTTCGTTCCACTATCATACATGGGGTGGACTATAAGCGAGGCATTCTTATAAATCCTAGTGAAATATTACTAATTCGGTCTTTATTTCTGCACTACGCTAACATTACCCATTTCAACAGGGCGACCAGTTCATTCCTCTGGAGCAGGTCCTCACAGGCAGGCCGGTCACTGACCAAATTGTTAACGGCATTATGGTAGGTCAAATTTCACAGGTTGAGATAGAATGATCTCTTGTTGATAGCTCCTTGCACTTGTAAGAAGGTGAAATCCGACTGACATTTGTGTCTTTCAGGAATACATCAAGAAAACCGTCGACGATCTCTCGCACCGTATGGAGCAATACCCAGCCAAGCCAGAGAACCTTGCTTATATCATTGGCCGCCTCGTCGAAGCCGTCGCCAACCTCGACTATCCATACATCCAGAACCTTTACACCCACTTCGACGGTAAAGGCACACTGCAGAAGTAAGATATAAAGTATTCTACAGATGTGTTGCACGATAATCAGAACAAGTGTTATCTAATAGATATTATCTGGATCTAAGAATCTCTTGTATCGGTAGTTTGAGCATATGTGTGTGAATCAATCTACATAGTTTGCATTTAAAATATAATTCAAATTTTGACCATTCTTTCTCTTGCTTTAGATACATCTTTACACAGTTGGTGATCCACGCCGGCACAGAACCATCAGTCAATTTTGCAGTTGATAACCTCAGCGATATTCTCTTCTACGTTACTTTCTACGAGAGTATTGGTGTCAGTCTTCGCACTCCGGCCCCTATTCCTAAGATCATGGTAAGTTCCTTTGAATGATACGGTATCTTTCCAGAATAGTTTAACTATACATGGTAGTGTATTGCATTTTTGAGACTGCAATAATTTTCGTCCGTGTTGTTTCTGAGCCATTATCTAGGATTTTCGCTGCTTCAGAATAGCTGTTTCATACCTAAAATCTATTCTTCCTTTGCCATAATTGGTTCTAATAACCCATATTACTTATAACTACAAAATAAAGTGATTCATTATCATTATCATTATCTTTGTCAGTGTTGTAAGAGTGCATTATATTTCAACCTGTCCCTCCTGCTAACAGCACAGTTTGATAAACGGAGATGAAGGTCTGCACCATAGCCTCGGCCTCATGAACTTCGCCACTCTGGCCCACGACGCGTGCCTCAGCGAGGACAGGAAGCACTTCTACTTCGACTACAGCTGCGGCCCGAAGACCGCGTGCGACCCTGAGCTTATCATCACAAATTTCATCCCTTACCTCGTGCGAGAACTTGGGGTAAGCAATTATCACTGCCACACTCTTTGTTTGCCCACAGCTCATTTCCACTTCTTCACTTCCTTCCATACCCTTTATCTGTCCACAGCTCATTCGCCTTTCCTCTGTTCAAGTTCTGTAATGGACGTCATCAATATTTCAGAATCAGGGGAAGGATGTCTGGCAGCGGCTCATATACCTTCAGGCGCTGAGCAACCTGGGAACGCCACAGACAATCAATGTACTGAAGCCCATCATTCTGGGCGTCACCGAAACCAACATCTTCATGAGAACGAATGCCATCTGGAGTCTGAGCGCTTACAACATGCAGAAGTCCGCCCTCTCGCAGGTAAGGGCAATCATGACGCATCCGCTGGCTTCAAATTATGCGAAGGTTAGCTGGGATCCCTTACAGAATGTCTCTCATGAACAGACATTTTACGAAACTAAAGA